CTCCCGCCGCTCAGCTGGGGGAAAATGGGGCTACATCGCAATGCGATCGCAAAAGCGATTGCAAAAAAGCCATTGCTATACGGGTTCATCATTAAACGGGGCGCCCGTTAAGCGAGGCACCACTGTAATTAGCAGATTCAGATAAGTAACAGTCCATTTTCTATGTTACATTAAATCAATTTAGATAGGAATTTTGCATATCAAGAACATTCCATCGGATTGTTTTAACTGTAAAATCACATTGAAGCCCTGTGTTTTTAATGGCATGAAGGATGAAATATTTTGCCCATGTTTGTGCATACTTGCACTAGGATTTTCTTGAGAAATTATAATTTGAGCTTTTTCTGTTAGGATGTAAATAGATGCATTGAGGCTTTGGATGAACTTGCTTCGCTTCAAGTAACAATGCAGCAGGCTCAGAAACATGCAGATATGATTTCAACACTTAAGAAAGTAAGTTGTACATTATATTATTTACTTGCACTGTTTGTGAACCGTACAATTTATAACATTTTATTAATAAACTGGACTGGAATTTAACAAGAAAAATTGTATATGTGTATGTAATAAATTGGATTGTTTCTTGCAAATATCAGAATGTTGAGTATATACATTAATAATTTTCCTCTGAACCCCTCTTCAGATACGAAAGTTCAAGGTCAGCCAAGTTATTATGGAAAAGTCCACTATGCTCTACAACAAGTTCAAGACTATGTTTCTTGTTGGAGAAGGAGATACTGTCCTTTCACAAGTGTTAAATAAATCTCTGGCTGAGCAGAAGCAGCATGAGGAAGCAAACAAAACCAAAGAACAGTGGAAGAAAGGACCAAGCAAGAAAGCTGAAAAAGAAAGAGAGCAAACAGGTACGCACAGAATGAAGGTCACAGTGATGGACCTAGCAGTGATTAACTATAGGTTCTTCTTCATGGTCTCTGAATGCACACGAATGTGTTAAGCTGCACCTGCACAGGACTCTTCACAATATTCTAGAGATAAAATAATGACAAGTGAAACATCTCCCAGTATCGCGCATGCTCTGCCCGCCAGTACCTCAGTTCCTTTTTGCCACTGCTGCAAACAGACTGCCTTGATTCGCCTAGAGCTTATTCTTCATGAAAAATCTTTGGTTTGACCTTGGATTGCTCTTTTGACTATGATCATCTAGTTTATTGACTTGGACTGTTTGGCCTTCGATTTCGCTTTATCCTGATTTGCCATCTGTGATTATTCAGCTTGACCCTTGGACTGTTTATTATTCTGGCTTTGGATTTTGATTTCTAATTCCTTGATTTTCTATCGGATTGATATCTACGGCTTTACCAGGACTGTTATCAATATCATCTCCCATGAGTGTGCCCCTTCTTGGTGTTTTTCTTGTTTCCTGCCAAATTTTATGGCCTCTTCAGGGTCATTCAAACGATGCGAGTCGTGCGCAAATAAAATCTCCTTCACTGACGGCCACAACCGCTGTCTGTTTTGTTTAGGGGAGAGACATCAGCCTAATACTTGTCAGGCTTGCAGAAAGCTGACCAAGCCTGCCTTAAAACCTCAGCTGCAAAGACTTTGATCCTATCTCTGGGAAAGCTGAAAAAGAAAGAGACACCTTTGGGCTCGACAAAAATGGAATCTGCCATTTCTACTGCTCCCCCTTCTCCTTGAACCAACTCTATTACTTCACCGACACCAGCTACTCTTTCCTCCAAAGCATCATCTAAAGTCTCTTAAGACAAAGAACATTTTGATGTCGGGATTGACATTGGTATTGAAGACACCGTTGACATTGGTAACGAAGGCACAGTCAAGTAAGGACCCAAAAAAGAAGAAAGACGTTTCGAAACATAAGAAGGGGAAGCAAACTCATAAGACGGTTCAACTGAGAGAATCTTCCCCAGTGACAATCACCTTGCTCTCGCCTATACTGAAGGAGTCATTGAGGGAACTCTGCAATCCCAATTCGATGTCTGAGGGAGAGGATCAACAGCAGGTATTGAGATCATTTCTGAGCATTTCACCTCACAACAGCCTTTCAGAGGCTGAGATCAATTCCAGCCCAGCCTCGGCCCATTCTAGCCCCATATCCATCAGATGGGCAACAGTGGCTCAGGTGTTGGAGGCAGAGATGTTACCAAGGCAGTCTCCGCGAAAACATCTCATGAAGCGTCAACATGTTTCAACAGGCCAGCAACCCTCTCAACATCAAGAAGTAATAGTGATTCCGCGTCCATCTCGGTGTCATACTGCTGCCGAGTATAATGAGCCACTGTACGTGGAAGCAGATCGACATGGATATCAGCATCGATATCAAGGATATGACTTTGACCCCGTGTATGATGCCGAGGAGTACGTTAGACCCAAGAGGGTACGTTATATCTATGCCTCTTTGGTGTCATCTCCTTCCCCATCTCCTCAGCATCAACATTGAGCCTATGTCGAGATCTAATCTGTGGCAAAACCTGCTTCAAAGCGCCATTCTCAAGAGGAACAATGATCCATTCCTAGTGAGAAGCTATCTCGAGTACAGTCGATACCGACACAAGTAGAGCATCCCAGACCATCCCGTTCCCAAGTACATGTACTGTCAAGAGTAATGTTGAAGTGTCGGTACCGATGCCACAAGTCGGCGTCAAGATCACGCAGATGCTCACCATCACCTCCTCTGTCTATCGACAGGGAGTCCGTAGGCTTGTCGATGTTGTCTGGTTCTGATCAAGATCAACATTCAGAAGCGTCTAAAGAATCTCCTTCTAATTTGCCTAGCCCAGTCTCAGATGTGGCTGACATACACCCCTCATCCCCTTCAGACGACTTCATTTCATACTCACAACTAATACTCCAAATGGCAAAGTCACTGGAATTGGACATTGATCAACCTCCTCCCCCCATACAGGACTTCGTATTTGATGACATAAATCAAGAGAAATTTCACCCTTTAAGTTTAGCATTTATTCCTTCAATGTTAGAGCTCATCAAAGAATCATGGACTCAACCACAACAATCTTTATAGGTCTCAAGAAGAGTGGAGAATCACTACAGGACGCATGGCAATAAAACATCATTCCTCAATAAACACCCAGCTCCAAACTCAATAACTGTCCTATCTAATCAGTTGAGAGCGGGTAATCAATCAGACCCCTACTAACAGAGGGGGTCGTAAGTTGGATGTACTTGGCCGTCGCCTGTATTCACTTGCGTCCTTTGTGATGAGGGTCTCCAGTTTTCAAGCACCCATGGGCGCCTATCAAAGGCAATTATGGAATAAGATCTTGCTCATTCTTCAAGCAGCCCCAGAAGAAACCAGAGCTGCAGCCCTCAACGCGCATTTGGAGGCAACAACAACGCCTGGCATCCACGCATACTGCGGACACGGCGTCCAAGGCAATGACATCATTCATTGCCCTCTGCAGTCATGCCTGGCTACATTCAGCAGGCATCAATAATGACGCCAGAGCATGGATAGAAGAGCTTCCGTTTGATGGTGTGGGTCTGTTCAATGAGAAGACTGACAAGGTTATGGAAAACCTGCACAAGACTAGAAAAACAGTACGGTCTTATTCTGTTGAAAAGCCTAGGTACCAGCGACAGCAATGGCGTAAACCATTTACATCACAACATTCATACCATCAATCATACCATCCGTATCAGCAACCTTACCATTCCTATAAGCCTCCTCAGGACAGACCAAATCAGCCTTCATCTTCTACTACTACATCCTTCAGGCTTCTAATCAGCGCCGCCAAAATTTCAGTCGCCCTGCAAGAAAGGGCAAGCCTCCTACTGATTCATCAACCCAATCCATCTTACCTTCTCCAGCTACCCCATTTTTTCAGCAAGTGGGCCAACATCACCACGGACACTTGGGTGCTCACCATCATAGGTTTTGGTTACCTACTAGAGTTCTTAGATCTTCCTCCTCTCAAGTCATCTCAAAATCACTTCTTACTCACCCGTTCTAGAGGAAGAAGTCTCTGTTCTTCAGAAGCACGCCATTCAATGTGTTTCTTCTCAAGAGGCACTGGATGGCTTCTACTCCCAATATTTCACGGACCCCAAGAAGGATGAAGGTCTATATGACCTATCTTGGATCTCAGGTGTCTCAACACTTACCTGTGTCACCGACTGTTCCGTATGGTCATCTTAGAGTCCATCATACCTCTTCCTGCTCTAGGAGATTGGTTCATTGTGATAGACTTGCAGGATGCTTACTTTCACATTACCATCCACAAGCGTCACCTCAAATACCTCAGATTTATTTTCATGGAATCAGTGTACCAATTCTGCACCTTCCCCTTCGGCCTTGCCACTGCCCCAAGGACTTTCACAAAGTGCCTAGCTCTAGTAGCAGCCTACCTTCATCTCAACAACACCATGGTTTTTCCATACATAGACGACTGGTTGATCGTCGCTGGCTCTTATGCCAAGGCAGAAGAGGACACAGTTTTCATGTTGCAAATGCTGGCAGATCTAGGCCTTCAAGTCAACGTAACGAAATACCATCTCAGACCATGGACTATACTGTATTGGCGCAGAACCAGGGTCTTCCTCCTGGCCAAAAGGATCCACAAATTACATCGGGCTATTGGTCCTTTTCGGCCCGGCACCAGAGTGACAGCATACCACACTCAACATCTCCTGGGTCTGATATCTTCCACCACGTCTGCACTTCCACATGCGTGGCTGAGGACGCACTCCCTGCAGGCGTGGTGCCTCTCCCAGTTCAATCCTCTGCTGGACAACCCTGCCAAGCGTCTCCAGGTCACTCCAGAGTTGTCGCAGCAACTAACATGATGGACATTTGCGCCTCATCTGCTCATTGGTCGACTGTTCAAGCCCCTTCATTTGACTGCGTAGGTTACAAACGATGGCAGTACGATAGGATGGGGCGCACACTAAGGCGTTCACAAGGTTCATGCCAGATGGTCCAGCTCGGAAAGGCTGCTACATATCAATCTTCTGGAAATGCTAGCAGTTATCAAAATTTTTCGAGCTTTCTGCCCACTACTGACCGGTCGAGGAGTACAAGTGGTCACAGACAACATGATCGCTTTGTACTACAATAAACAAGCAAGGAGGCACTCATTCTTTGTCCCTTCTGTATCTGTCAATCCACGTATAGGAGTGGTGTTACTACCATCACATATTCCCAATTGCCATCCATGTGGTGACAAGACAATGATGTGGCCTATCACTTGAGCCATCTGACTACTCAGACACATGAGTGGGTCCTCGATGACTCGGTGTTTGCACACATCTGCAACAGATGGGGCACACCAACCATCAACATCTTCACCACACAGTCAAACACGAAATGCAAACTTTTTTGTTCCCGAATGGGCAGAGGCACAGGATCCCTAGGAGATGCCTTTATGGTGCAGTGGGATGTAGTCCTTCTCTACCTTTTTCCACTTCCATACATAATCAAAATCCAACAGTTAAGAGCAGATGCCATCCTGGTGACACCATGGTGGCCTTGACAATCATGGTTTACCGCCCTCAAGTCCATTGTGACCGATTACCTGAGATTGTCTCCCCAACCATCTCTCCTGACTCAGGACGGAGGCAATGTCTGCCACCCTGATATCAAATCTCTCCATCTCACAGTGTGGAGGATTCTCCCATCATAAAAGAAGTACTCAAGAAGGCTAGAAAGCCATCAACCAAGTTATTGTACTCCCACAAATGGTCTACCTTCACCAAGATTGCTGAACTCAAGAGATTTTGTTACAGTTCCTGTTTCTCTGAGGACCCTCCTTACCTTCCTCCATTATTTGTTTGATATGGGTCTGGCGCATTCCACACTTAAAGTTTACATTTCAGCCATCATCTCATATCAACCTGTTGGTTCCGATGCTTCTCATTTGTTTTC